GGGGGGGGTCTCTAGCTGCTGAGAAAGTTTCCATACCGAGTGTGAGCTTGCCTCACCTGCTTGACAGCCTCAAAGGTCATTGGCAAGATTGAACGGATGGGTCCTTGGGGGCACAGAAAGCTTAGAAAATCCAGCAAACGCCCATCCTATGATAATACGGGCGTGGGGGATGATGGAATAGGAGAGAAGTATCAGAATAGAGGGGCAGGGCAGCATGGAGTGTTCTGAGAATAAAGGGGTAGAACCAGAGAAGAGAGGAGCTTACCAGGTACAGAGTCAAAGGTCCAAGTGCCATCTTGGTGCTGGGGGTAGGTAATGGTCCCAAGGGGACTTCCTGGAACTGAACCCACATTCTCTCAGGAGCCATGGGAAAACATTCCAAAGCCCTGGAGCAAGGAGTCTCATGGAAGTAGGCTCTAGGGCAGGAGTGCAGGGGCCGTAAAGACCCAGTGATTTTGTACCTACCCACCACTGTCTCCACAAGTAGTCAGGGGTGGGGGGGAGATGCTTCCCCAGGACACTCAGGGCTGCTTTCTAAGATGCCCGTCTGACCAACTAGCCCATTCCCTCGCCCCCCACCCCCAAACCAAAGAAAGCCTTTGGAGTTTGCTGAGGTGATGTGGCACCTTGCTGATGACGTTTCGAATAGCAAAAAGCTTAGGTGTGGGGTCTCCTGCTTCAGAGATGGGTGCGTCGTAGTCGTAGCTTGTAGTGATTGGAAGGAAGTGCCCCTTTTCATCAGCACCTGGGGTTGAAATAACAAATTTAGCGTGCCTAGGAGCGACAAGTGCGAGAGAAAGATGAGGCCTTCCAGTCCCGTCCAGAGTTACATTCTCAGACACCCACAGAGCCGGCTCTCCCATGTCCGATAGGGCATCTAGGAGTCGGCAGCGACTCGATGGCAGTGAATTTGGCTTGGGTGTCACGTGATGGGCATGAAGCAAAGAGAGGGCTTGATGGCATCAGACTAGTGCAGTGAGTGACCCAGGGGGATGGATCGAGGCAGCCATGGAAGCTACACTCGGCCCGAACGGTCCACTTCCTTGCAACTCCCTGCTCTTCTGCCCAAGGGGTCACCTGGACTCACCATTCCAGTATCCGAAGTTGGTGCCTCCGTGGAACATGTACCTGAGAAGTGCGGGTTGGGGGTGGGGGAAATGTAAAAGCAAACTCATTAATTAATCTTAACTGGCACCCCCAGTTACAGCTTCCACTCCAGTGCCCTCCAGTTACATGTTCACACTGGCTCCCAAATTCAGCATGTCCTCCAGTCCCTTGGTCACAGCTGCAACAGACCGAGTGGAGTGTTTCTGGCCCCAGTAATCCAGCCAGCCTGTGTAGTACTCAGAGTTCACCTGGGGTGTGACATGAAAGGACCGAGGGGTGAGCAAGAGAGAATGCGAGCCAGGCCTGTTCCCATCCCTGCCTCTTTGACTCCCCTCCCGCTGGCCCCTCACCAGTGGCCCATGGGGTTCATACTCCCGAAGCAGGGAAAAGATCTTGGTCATATTGTCGGCTGCAGAAAGGAGGCAAAGGCGAACCGTCAACACTGTTCATAGCAGAGATGCCCCGCCCCCTGAACATAGTCTTGCCCATTGCTCAGGACACCTGGGCCAAAATCAATAGTGGTATAGAGGCCCTGGAGGGTGCCACATCTGAGGCCTTCGGGCCCATCTGTGGTGAAGAGCAAGATCTTGTCTCCTAGGAGTGAGCGGAAGAGCCCAGCCAGGTGTCTCATGTAGGTGATGTCACAGGCCTTATAGCTGCCGTATTCATTCTCCACCTGCCAGCAGGAGGGAAGGAGGAGTTTGGGTCTGAGGTTAAGGATCTCTCATATGGCCTCCCTCTCTCCTGGCCCAGGTGAGGCTGCACTTGTACCTGGACGCTAATGATGTTGCCCCCATTGTGGTACAGCCATGGGTAGATCTTGGGCAGCAAGACCTGGAACCAGGAGTCCACCGCAGCAAGGAAGTCTAAAGGAAGAAGTAGTGCTCTCTGCACCCACAGGCTCCCCCACCCCTCTGCGCACACCCCAGCATCAGTGCTAGCAACTTCACTGCTTCCCACCACTTCCCCACCCGCACTGGAGTCTGAGCAGAACTGACCGACTTGTCAGGGACGACTGCCCTATGCGGTTGTGTTTGCATGTCAAAGGAACATGAACATAGAAGAGACTTTAAAGCTGTGTTTCTTTCCTTTAATGTGCTTCCTGCTGTATCATCTTATTGTTGCCAAGTGCGGACTCACAGTGACCCTATGTGCAACAGAAAAACTCTGCCCAGCCTCGAACCACCCTCACCCTGAGCCCATTGCTGCAAAGCTACACTCTGTCAGCCACTTACACCCGAGGCTGCTATGAAGTGGCATGGTCCTTGTTCGCCTCTTTCTGTGAGGTTTGTCTCAACTCACCTGGGTCTGAGGTTCTCAGATGGATAGTCCGTGTTTGAAGCAACCAGGCTGGGAGACCCCCCTGAGACAGACATAAAAACAAGGATGTGTGTCGGGTCTGGTTCTTCCGGGGTGACAGACGGAGCTGAACAGAGTCCTGGAAGTGGTGCTGGGGTACAGACTTTGGTTCTTGGGCCCCAGCTCCATCTCTTAACTCACCATCTCCCACTCAGAACAGATGTAAGGTCCTGGCCTCAGTATGACCAACAGGTTCGTCTTATTTGCCTCATTCAGAAATGCAACGAGATCCCGGCTGCCATTAAAGTTATAGACCCCACGCTCTGGCTCATGGTAGTTCCAGGGCACATAACTGAGGAAGGAAGAGGTTAACAGGGCTCGTGGTGAGGCCGTGCCAGGGAAGCCTCAGGGCTCAAGTCCTGGTGTGGGGACCGTCCTGACGCCCCCCTTTCTCCCCCTTGGCCTGAGAGCCCTGGACTTCCACACGGAGCCCGTCTTCTGGGCGCGTTCCTCTTCCTAAGGAGGTGGGATGAAGGGGAAAGTCTGCCCTCTCCAGGCGCCCTCTCGGGAGCACTGCTTACAACTGTATGGCGTTAAGGCCGCTCATCTGCATCTTGTAAAGTCGGTCGGCCCAAAGGACGCGCGGGACCCGGAAGTAGTGCATGCTGCCAGATATATAGCGGAACGGAGCCCCGTCCAGGAGGAACCTGTCATGATCCCGATCCACGACGAAAGACCGAGTGCCTGCCTGCAAAGGGAAAACCAGGCGCTGCCCGGCCAGCTCCGCAGTGGGGCAGCGTCTGCATAGGAGGTGGCACTAGCCCGGCGCGCTGGGGTTCCTTGTACCTTCTCTACTTCCTCCGCATCTGCTTCAGTTCCTTGGAACCTGGGAGCCCGGCGAGCCCCACCCCTCTGCTCTTACCTGGGGCAGTAGGAGCGTCAGTAGCGGCAGCAGCAGGCACGGCAGGCAGGGCGGCCTCTTGAGAGCCATGGCGCTTGCAGAGCTCCGACAGTTTGGGACTCTGGTCAGGCCGTCACGTGGCGTATTCCTGGGAGGGAACCTCAGCGAGCAAGGGGGCGGAGACCACCCCAATTTCTTTTTTTCTCTCTTGTCTGCAGCCACTACTAGATTGTAAATGCCTTGACATTTACTACTCAAAGTGCGATCCACGAAACCACTTCAGCAGCCAAACCTGGGAGCTTGTTAGGAATGCAAGATCTCTGGTTCTAACTCAGACCTAGAACCAGAACTTGTATTTTAATGAGATTCTCGGAGGCCCTTAAACAGAGCAAGGAGTTCCTGGACCGCCTTCACTTCCCCAGGGCCGCACACATATCACCTGATATGAATGAAGGTTCCAACCAGGCGTTCAGACCGGTTCCGAACCAGGAGAAGCCTAGGACAGCCTTTCCCACAGCCCAAACCCAAAGTAAACCATACCTACTGCCCTCGAGTGGGTTCCAACTCACAGCCACCCTTTATGGCAGTGGTTCTCCACCTTCCTCATGCCCGACCCTTTCATGCAGTTCCTCATGTTGGGTGAACCCCCAACCATAAAATTATTTTCATTGCTACTTCAGAACTGTCATTTTGCTACTGTGATGAATTGGGTGACTCCTTTGAAAGGGTCTTTCGCCCCCCCAAAGGGGTCGCGACCCACAGGGTGAGAACCACTGCTTTAGGGGGTTTCTGAGGCTGTCAATCTTTATGGGAGCAGACAGCCTCATCTATCTCCAGAGGAGCCATTGGTGACGTTAACCATCCCCTGGGGTTAGTAATCCAATGCTTGCCCAGCACTCCTCCCCCCCCCACCCTCCCAGGAGTCTGAGAAGGGAGAACCAGCTATCTCACTCACTGCCATGGAGTGGACCGACCCCACAGGACAGGGTAGAGATGCCCCTGCGGGTTTCTGAGACGGTAACTATTTAAGTAGAAAGCCCCATCCTTCTCCCCGTGGAGCAGCTGGGGGTGTCCAACTATTGACCTTGTCATGAGCAGACTGCTGTATAACCACTGCTATGCCACCAGGGCTCCTGTGACCCAGGTTATAGTGGGATCTTTTTCCTGGAGAGCCTTGTTCAGCAAAAGGGCCCATCCTGACCATGCATTCCATCATCTTCCTCCCTCATCTGTCCCTGCCTGCCTGAACAAAGGATACTAAGAATCAAAGCTTGGTGCCAAGGGTTGGAGCTGTGTAGGTCTCCATTCCTCTTACCATCACAATCCTAAGCCTGCCTGGGATCTGAGGACCAGGGTAACAAGTCATCCTAATTGTCATTACTGAGGGTTAACACTTGCTGGGGGCCATGTGTTAGATAATAGGGCTGAGCACTTTACATGTCATTTAACCTCAAACAACTCTGAGGTGGATAAGTATGCCCGTTTTACAGATGAGGAAATGAACCCCACAGTCAAACCAATTCCGACTGATAGCCATATTATAGGAAAGGGTAGAACTGCCTTTGGGTTCCTGAGACGTAACTCTATGCAGAAAGCCTCCTTTTTCTCCCTTAGAGCAGCTGGTGGCTTCAAACTGCTGACCTTGTGGTTAGCAGCCCAGCACGTAACCACTGCAACACCAAGGCTCCTAGAGATGGAAATTGAGGGACAGAAATCCGAAGTAGCCTGTTTGTGGCCACACACTAATAGCACTGGGATGTGAACTAAGCAGTTTGGCCTCACCGCTCCTACACTTCACCATAGGCACCATACACCTTTGGGACTCTGGCCTGAATCCCAGAGGTATGCTGTGGAATAAAATAGAAAAGCTGAAGGATAAAGGATAAAGTGAGGCTCAGAGAGGTTAAGTCACTAGCCTGAAGTCACACAGCTAGTAGGTTTGTTAAGTTTGGACTCAGATCCTGGTGGTCTGGTTCAAGAGTCTGAGCACCTAACCACTAAACCTAGGGCGGTGGGATGCAAGCCAGAGTCCCCAAGATTCTAGAGGACAGAGCAGCAGTCTCGCCCCTCCAGAAATCCCCCTCCGGGTTGTAACAGTAAGCAGCCGCTACGGGGGCAGGAGACCTCCTACCTCGGGCATTGGGCGATGGAGGTCCTAGGAGCCTGGGGCTGGGCCCAGCTTTGCTCCCCTTGGGCGCGAGTGCCTGCGTCCTGACCTCTACTGAAGGCCAGGTGGGCCCCCTGGCCTGGGTCCTGGGACTCGTCCTCCGCAGGCATAGCCTGCCCCAGGCTTCGCAGCTCAGGCGCCCTGACATCCTCCGGGTGCCCAGCGGTTGCTAGGATACCGCGGGCCGTTACGCCGGCGTGGGCTGATGACGTAACCCGTGTTTCCGGTCGCCGGCGCTTCCCTCCGGCCCGAGCCAGGTCAGTGGGGACTCGGGGGCTGGTGGATCCCGGGTTTTGCGCGCGATCGCTGAGGGTAGGCCCCGCACGGGGTGAGCCCCCGCCTCGCACCTCTCTCGAACTCTCTTACCTGCCTCGGCGGCCCCACGGGCGTGGGAGCGGGAGCCGCCCCAAGGTGGGCTGGTCTTGGCGGAAGCGGCCTGCTAGTTGCTGCGTGGCCTAAGATTTGAAGGCACCTGATCCCCCAACCTTCTGGAAGCTGGGGCGGCCAGGACCCGTTTCCTCTAGAGCGCAACATAGGCTCTCCGGATCTGGGCCTGTGATCTCCGCCTCGCCACTTCAGGGCTGTCGTCTGGACTGTGCGGGACCCACGACCTCACCTTTCGTTCCTTACAGCATGCTCTGTTGGACCCTGTGCGCATCGCGTGGAAGAGCCCCCTCACCCCGGATGAACCCTGCAGGAGCCTCCGACCATCCTTGAGGAGGATGACTGAGGCACTATGGGCCATGCGCTGTGTGTCTGCTCTCGGGGAACTGTCACCATTGACAACAAGCGCTACCTCTTCATCCAGAAACTGGGGGAGGGGTGAGTGTTTGGAAATCACTTAGCCGCACCCCAGGTTGTGGTGATTGAAGGACACATGATAGGGGTGGACAGGTTTAATTCCATCCTCCTGAGATGGAGTCAAGGCCTGAGTCAAGGAGCCAGGCTTCCAAGATGAGATTCCTCTTGTGTGACCTTGGTAAACTGCGGTTTGATTTTAATGCATAATGAGGATACTGACCACGTCTCTGTGATGGAGTTGTGGGCATTTAAATGAGATGATGCATAAGAAACGCCTAGCACCCAGCTCATAAACAGCTGATGAATGTCAGCTCTTATTGGTAGGTGTTGAGCACCCCCCAGGCAGAGAGAGCACTGTGTTGTGATAACAGGACTGTGGCCTCGAATTTGAGGAGTGCAGGGTAGTCATCAGACGGCACTTGCAGCCATGTCTTGGATGGGTTTCTATTAAATGGGGACTTCCGCCCCAGGGCAGTCTGGGCCCAGGCATTACAGGAGATGACCGTGGCCCTTCACTGACCCCTTTGGCCCGCAGTGGGTTCAGCTATGTGGACCTAGTGGAAGGGTTACACGATGGACACTTCTACGCCCTGAAGCGGATTCTGTGTCACGAGCAGCAGGACTGCGAGGACGCCCAGCGAGAGGCGGACATGCATCGCCTTTTCCACCACCCCAATGTCCTTCGCCTGGTGGCTTACTGTATGAGGGAGCGGGGCTCCAAACAGGAGGCCTGGCTACTGCTACCCTTCTTCAAGGTCAGAAGGGCGCCCGGGTGTGGAGGGGGTTGCCAAAGAGCCCTGTCCTAAGGGCTGTGTCAGCAGGCGGGCATGTTGGGATGCAGGGACCAGATTTGGGGGTCTTAGGGGAACCCAAATGGGGACACACGGGGTGGCCGCCATGAGTCAGCGCCGACTTGGCAGCAGTTAGCTTATTTCTGGTTCTAAGTGGGATGGTGGAGTTGAAGGGCACCCTGGTGCCACCATGGTTAAAGTGCTCCACTGCGCAGGGAAAGTTGGCAGACCGTCAGCTGCTATGTGGGAGAAAGCTGTGGCCATCTGCTTTTGTGAAGGTTACCAGCCTTGGTGGCTGGGTGAGAGGCTGCTAGGCTTTGACGGAGGGAGCAGGAGCCTCGGGGAAATGTGTTGCAGAGAGGGACGGTGTGGAGCGAGATCGAAAGGCTAAAGGACAAAGGCAGCTTCTTGACCGAGGAGCAAATCCTGCTGCTGCTGCTGGGTATCTGCAGAGGCCTGGAGGCCATTCATGCCAAGGGTTATGCACACAGGTCAGTAGAGGATCTGGTACTTGCCGGGCAGGGGAGCATCGCCCAATGATGAGGGACGTCACTTGCTGCCCTTCTAAGCCGCAGCCCCCAGGATTTCCTGGGATGGTGGCCAGGGGGTGTTCATGGTTCCCTTCAACTCCCCCACAGAGACCTGAAGCCCACCAATATCCTGCTTGGAGACGAAGGGCAGCCAATTTTAATGGACTTGGGTTCCATGAATCAGGCGAGCATCCAGGTGGAGAGCTCCCGCCAAGCCTTAGCCCTGCAGGTAAGCCTCCTGGTTTTTATTTGTCCACCTGGTCCTCATCATCACCCACTTCTGGGGCGTGCCCCAGTTTGGTCACATGATTGTGGCCAGTGACCCACTTCTGAGTCCCCGGGCCCCTTTTCCAGGACTGGGCAGCCCAGCGGTGTACCATCTCCTATCGTGCTCCAGAGCTCTTCTCCGTGCAGAGCCACTGTGTCATTGATGAGCGGACCGATGTCTGGGTGAGTTGCCTGGGGGCAGGAGGGAGCTTTGCTGCTCTGCCCAGAGTGTGCCGCAGAGGGCGGGTCCTGGGTTACTACTGCATGCCCCTCCCCCACCCACCCCGCCCTCCTCGGGAACATGGTATGTCCCCATCGGCCTGGGCTTCCTTCCTGGTACTGTCCTCGGTTGCTCAGGAAGTGGTATATAATCCTGCCCTGGAGCAGGGTGGGGTCGGCTCCCCGTTAGGGCGGAAGACAGTGGCTAAGCCAGGGGAGCAGAGGCCTCCCAATCACCGGCAGTTTCTCTGGCCTTTAGGGTGCCCTGGCCTGGGATTGGCCTCCCTTTAGCTTATGTAACCCCCTTTTAACACAGCAGTAAAGGCGGTATTGGGGAGGAGGGTGGGGTCCTGTTTGAAGAGTATTGTAACCCAGTCCCTAGGCTGTGTGCTGTACGCCATGATGTTTGGGGAAGGCCCTTATGACATGGTGTTCCAGAAAGGGGACAGTGTGGCCCTGGCTGTGCAGAATCAACTCAACATCCCACCAAGCCCCAGGTGAGGAGAGGGGGCATGGAGCATTTTGGTGCCTCCCTGTGGTGACAGCCACACGGGGACCCTTAGAGAGCGGACGGTTCTCCCTCCCC